CCCCCCCCCCCCCCCGGTACCTGCCCCCGCCCCCCCGGCACCTGCCTCCTCCCCAGAGCTGCCCCCGGCAAGCCGCCCCCCCCCAGAGCTCCCCGGTGCCCGCCTCCGGCAAGCCCCGCCCCCCCGGCACCTGCACCTGCACGTGCTGGAAGCCGCCCTGCAGCTCCTCCCAGTCCCGCAGACACTCGCTGACCGAGGCCCGGAGGCTCATGGCGGCACCGGCGGGGTGACGGGGCGGCACGAACCGGCAGCGCCGCTCCGCTCTCAGCGGCCTCCGGACAGGGGCACTTCCGGGACCCGCCGCGACCAATCGTCACGGGGGTGCGGCCGGCGCCGTCCTGACGTCACAACCAATCGGCGCTCGGGGGCGGCGCTTTCGAACGCCACGCGACGGTGGAGCGAGGGGAAGGCTGCGGCAACAACAGCCTGGGGCGGGGGCGTTGGGGGGGGGGGCCCGGGGGAAGACCGGGGGGGGGGGGGGGGGGGGGGGACCCGAGGGAGCAGCCCGGGGGGTGGTGTTGTGGGGTGACCTGGGTGAGCAGCCTCGATGGGGGCGTATCTAGGGGGATATTTCCTTCCTTTCCCTTAGGGTCAGTCACAGATTTTCTCACTGGCAGTTCAATGGGAAATCTCTCAGTTCTAATCAGTCTGAAGTGATCGATGCTGATAAGTCTGAATTTGAAAAACACAACTGACATAGATCTCAGACTGCAGGTGGTTGGCCTCTGATTTTACATCCCAGACAGCATCTCCAGCCGCACAGTGCCCCTAACTTGGGCTTTGGCATAGTACGGAAGCAGATGGTACACAGCACCACAGAAGCAACCTCTTCTTAGTATCTTGGGTTTTCCTTTCTACTTGTTCCTGTGAAGTACTAGCCTGGCCTGACCCGACCCTCCTGACCTTGGGAGACCCCATGAGAGTAAAGCCCAAAGCGCATTGACTACTCTTAAGTACTGCCCTTAAAATAAACCGACAAATAACCTCCCTATGAATCCAACTGATGAAACCTGAGCTTCTGCTCCTCCTCATTTAGAGGCCGCAAGGCACCAGTTTAACAGTAGACTTTGTACCTCCAACTGTTACAGACATTCCTGATTTTTGACTGAGAGTTGCTGTGACCCATCCATAAAAGATTTGCCTTGCATTTAACAGTAATACAATCTGTGAGGCACAAGAGGTGGTGGGGTATTTATCTCTAGGGCCAGACCAAAAGCATGCTGAAACCAATGGAAATCTTCCTATTGATCTCAATGGGCTTTGGCCCGGTCCCTTATACCACACAGTGTCTGAGTCCCAGATCCTCAGATGTATTTAGGCACCTAACTCCCATTGATTTCAAAATCAACAAAATCATCATCACTTTATAGGTCACACGTGGTCTAGTTTCTTCCCTTCTTCCTCTGAGCCTGCTGGGGATTTTGTATTCCTCCTCCATCATCTGCCTTCTTTCCTTTCCCTGTTGTTTTCCTTGTGGCTGTGGCTATATCCGCAATACCGTGAAGTCCATCTGCAGCCCCCACTCCCCTCCAATGTGTTATTTTGATGTTCTTGTTAGATTCGAGTGATATTTTTTAATGTGAGGAAATTGTTCAGATCCCTGTGCAGTGTTTGGGAGGATCTTGGATGTTCTTTCCTTGCTTATTTTCCTCGTAGGGTGCTAACTTCATCGACTGTTTGCCCTTTCATTGTAAATCAGCACGTGCCTTCGGCACTGCATACAGTGCTCACTTCTGGAAATCCTTCTGGAGGGACATTGAAATCAGTACATTTGAGATACTAATGCAAGTAGAAGCCTTGGGGCTGGAATAGTCAAAGGAGTCTAAGAGAGTTAGGTCTCCAAACGCCATTGAAATACAATGAGAGATGAGTGTCTAACTCCCTGGGCCCCCTTTGAAAATCCAGTCTATACATTTGCTCCAGGGCAGATTGGAAGACTGCACAAGCCTTGTGGCCCTTTAAGGCAAGGAAAGAATTGTAAGTAAGTCCTTTATTGAGAAGTGCCACCAAGTGGTTAGTGCTTGGAACTGAATGTCAGGAAGCCTGAGTCCTAGTTCCACCTGTCACTGAGGGTATAAACAGCAGTTAAACCTCCGCAGCTGTCCCGGGTCAGGTGACTTGGGCTTGCTCAGGCTGCGGTGCTGTAAAACTGTTCTGTAGATCTTTGGGCTTGGCCTAGAGTCGGAGCTCTGGGGCCTAGTGAGGCAGGAGGGTCCCAGAGCCCAAGCCCGAACCCGAATGTCTACATCGCAGTTAAACAGCCCTGCAGCCCAAGTGCCGTGAGCCCAAGTCAGCTGACATACTGCAGCATAGCCATACCCTCACTCACTTAGTGTTCTTAAACAAGTCACAACCACGCTGTGCTTCTGCTCCCCCTATGCAAAATGAGTAGAATGAGATCCGCCTTTCTAAATTGCTCTGAAATCCTGGGAAGTAAGGGCAGATCCTCAGCTGCTGTAAACTGGCATAATTCCCTTGAAGTCAATGGAGTTTTGCTGATACACATCAGCTGAAGATCTGGACCATAAGGTGCCACATAAGTACATAGTATTTTCTTAAAAAATAATGGTTCTGAAACAAAGTGCAAAACTGACAGACCCATTTATAGATCTCACTGCAGTGAAAAGACATTAGTACAGAAAATCTACCTCTGATTGCAATGTACAGCACCGGTGTTTAGTTCTGGTCATCCGACTTCCACAAAGCATACACATTTCAGCACTCAGAAGTAGTTAGTTGTCTCAATTCATTAGCAAGAATGTCAAGGTTGAGTCATTCTGTCCCAGGCTAGAGTTATTGAGGCTGTAATAATGTTTTGGTACAAACCTGTCAAAAAACCTTTGAAGGTTCAGATTTAGGATGAAGATTTAAAATGAAGGACATAATATAACTGTCAGAGTAGGGAGGTCAAAATGTGGTGTAAGGCCTACGTAACATTTTCTATAAGCTCTTATGCTGTGCTGCTAATGTATGGAATTTACAGCTTCATCATCATCATGTTCCCATTACACCTCTGGTGTTAAGGGCAGCGACGAAGCTCCTCCACTCCTGTCTGTTTCTGGCAAGGCTTTCAATGGTTCCCCAGCTGTGCCCCAGGTTTTTCAGCTCAGTTTCCATAGCTCTTTACTGTGCTGTTTTCAGGCGGCCTCGTTTTGGCTTGCCTTCAGGTGTCCATCTTCTTGCTATTCTGGGGATGGAATCAGCTTGGGCAGGACTTTAATTTGGCTTAATATAATAGGACTGGAGCTTCAAATAGAACTTCAAAGCAAAGAAGTCTGACTGTTGCAATATGAGGAGGCAAGTAGGAGGCAAGGCTGGAGAGCCTGGGCCCAAATAAATCAATGGGAGATACATGGGTGTGTGAAGGCATTACTCCATCTTGGGATTGGACTGTACATCTGAGAGAATGCATTTGTAATGGAGTAATTCCTGAACTGTTGAAATTCTGTATCACATATTTATCTGTCTGTCTGGTAAAGTACCCATTTACCATCCAAGGGTAGAGATCCATGGACGGGTTTTCAATGATGCTGCTCACCAGCAGCCCCTACTGGCTTCAATGGGAGCTGCAGGTGCTCAGCACTTTGATAATCAGCCCGCAATTGACCTAGCCAACAGAAGTGACCATTAAAACAAAACGAGCCAAATCCTGAAGTCGTTATTCATGCACAACTCCCACTGACTGTTCAGCAAATTTGCCTGAATAAGGGATTGGATCCCAAATGATGGCCCCCAAATGACGTAAATAATAACATGTGAAGATGAAAACCAATCCTAAAGGTTCCGATTATTATATTATTCTTATTGTTTTACTCACAGCAACCAATTCTAGTCAAACCTTACCTAAACAATACAGCCCAAGTTAAACTGTGGTACAGATGGAAAGGCTTCTTTGCCTGTTGGATGTTCTCCTTGCTGACTGTCAGTAATGTGGTTCGGAGATATCTGTGATCGCTGACCCATAGATTTGGCTTTCCCAGTCTGACAGCTGTTGTACAAAGCCACGGTTTGGTCTCATGTTTGTTTTGCATTTCTGGATGTATTTCCAAGCCCTCTACAAATACAAGTAAAGACAGGGAGAAGACTCAGGAACTTGCTTACTTTGTATTGTCCAGGTTACAATTACACCTCTACCCCGATAGAACGCGACCCGATATAACACAAATTCTGCTATAACGCGGTAAAGCAGTGCTCCGGGGGGGCGGGGCTGCGCACTCCGACGGATCAAAGCAAGTTCGATATAACGCGGTTTCACCTATAACGCAGTAAGATTTTTTGGCTCCCGAGGACAGCGTTATATCGGGGTAGAGGTGTACCTCTAAGTCTTAGAACGATTAATTATTTGCATTTTCATAGCATCTAGGAGCTTCACTCATGGCCCAGGACCCTATTGTGCCAAGTGCTGAACAAATACAGAACAGAAATGAACCAATCTGGTATCTGGACCAGTAGAGAAAGAAAAGGACACAGTGAATTACAAGTATCAGAGGGGTAGCCCTGTTAGTCTGGATCTGTAAAAAGCAACAGAGAGTCCTGTGGCACCTTATAGACTAACAGATGTATTGGAGCATAAGCTTTCGTGGGTGAATATTACAAGGTTTTTTTTAACCCCTGCCCTCCCCACATAACTCCTTTATGGGTCAGGACCCCTACAATTACAACACGGTGAAATTTCAGATTTAAATAGCTGAAATAATTAAATTTATGATTTTTTAAATCCTATGACTGTGAAATTGATCAAAATGGACTGTGAATTTGGTAGGGCCCTATCTATAATGAACCAAACTGATATCCTGCAGTGTTCAGCTCAGGCCTCTTTCTTCATCTATGATGTACCTGCCATCATTCTGCAGCAAGACAATGCCAGAGCCCTACCTTGGGCTACTGGGTCTGAGTGTAGTGTAAAATGCTAACGGTCTTTTTCAATGGAAAAAGCAGAGAAACTGCACGACAGAGGGTCTCCTGTTCCTGGATTGGCACTATATGCTATTGCACAGTGGTGATCTACAGCAGCAAAGCAGCGGTCCAGCTATCCCAAAGTGCTAATTACAGCCATCTCGATGGTTTGTTAGTTTCAGGTAATTAGCTTGGATTGCTGTTACACGGCAGGGTTGTGACACAAATGCACTGCACTCCTCTCTGGCTACGCTACTGAAGTTACTGAGTAATGTCCCTCTCCCCAGATAAAATCAGAATTTCTTATAGCAATCAGGAGCATAATTAGGATTGCTTAAGCTTAATGAGATGAAAGGTGAAATGGTATTGCCTGGTTTCTTCCGGATCTCTGATACTGGAGACCAACAGCCTAAACCTCTAACCTGCTTATGATTAATTCCTAATCACACAAGTAATCAGTGGGTCTCCACACACACTAATTACTCATATGAGTAAGGGTTTGGCAGGAGCATGTTCTACCAGTGCAATTTCTTTTAACGTACTCATGTCTCCAGATCCCTGAAGCCTCACTAAAGCATTCCAAGACTTTTGTCCAAACTGGGTCAAAGACCTAATTGAAAGAGCAGCTTGAGTATATTTCACTGCTGCACTCCAGCAAGACTGTCTGTTTGAATCATCCCATAGGAAAGCTTCGTGCAACAGGAATCTCAAGCATTCAACCTGTTTCACTATGGACAGCCTGTGGGGAGGGTGCTCTGGAGTAGATGTATTTCTGTTTAGATTTGACAAGATGTTAAAACAAAAACGTTGATCACAATAAAGGGAAAAGTCAGTTATCAGCCTTGGACTTTTGCACTGTGGGTGCAATAAGTTAAGTATTTTAGTAGGGCTCACATGGGAGGGTGTGATAGTGATTGAACTGTTATCAGTCTGTGGGAGCAATCAGATCCAGTATTAGTAGGGTAGGTTCCAGTGCCTGTGCAAAGTATGCAGCGAGTCTCTAATATTCTGCTGGCAAACTCATTCTGCAATTACTCTGATGTGCCTTGCAGGGTAAGAAGCCTCATTTTATGTTGCAAATGTTTACACACAAAAATGGGTCAGGTTCGTGCTCAGCTTCAGGATTCAGTTTGGATTCAAATACATCTCTACCCCAATATAACGCGACCCGATATAACACGAATTCGGATATAACACGGTAAAGCAGTGCTCCGGGGGGGGCAGGGCTGTGCACTCTGGGGGATCAAAGCAAGTTCGATATAACGCGGTTTCACCTATAACGTGGTACTTTTTTTGGCTCCCGAGGACAGCGTTATATCGAGGTAGAGGTGGACTCAATTTCCAGAAGAGGGGCTCCTTTTCCAAACACAACCAAGACTTTTAGCGGGCCTCACTTCAAAGGCATGGAGGAGATCAGATAGCACTGATACCCCAGTCTGCCCAGAGAAGGCAGAATGAGAGACAGACCCATCTTTTCAAAATGCTGGGACACCGAGTAAACTGAGGAACATCCTGGAATTTGGGGATAAGCCACCAATCTAGTATACAGCTAGGTACTTCTCAGCCTTCACCCAATATTTTTCTGAAGACTTGTGGAGCTACGTAATGAGATGTGTTGGTCCGTTAAGGTTGAGGAGAGCACCCCTCGTAGACTAAAAGAACAGGAGTACTTGTGGCACCTTAGAGACTAACAAATTTCGTGGGCTACAGCCCGCTTCTTCGGATGCATAGAATGGAACATATATTGAGGAGATATAGATACACATACAGAGAGCATGAAAAGGTGGGAGTTGTCTTACCAACTCTGAGAGGCCAATTAAGTAAGAGGAAAAAATTTTTTTTGATGTGATAAGAAGTGTGAGAGTACTTACATGGGGAGACAGATAGAGACACTTCTTATCAAACTGTCTGTACTGGGCTATCTTGATTATCACTTCAAAAGTTTTTTAGTTAGTCGCTAAGGTGCCACAAGTACTCCTGTTCTTTTTGCGGATACAGACTAACACGGCTGCTACTCTGAAACCTCTTAGACTAGTGCAACCCTATTCTGGGTTTCCCTAGAACAATATCTGTGGGTCAAGGGATGTGGTCTTGGGGAAGCAATCTGGGATTTTAAAGACACCCATGCTGCTGACCTCAGCTTTAGGGCACAAAGCCAGAGTTCCACAAACAGGGTGGGCTGGACTTCCTATATCCCGCAAGAGTAAGGGACAAAGCCAGGTCATGGTAGCTCCCAGATTCAGAAAGTCTCTCTCTCTCTGAGATCCAGGAGAGCAGAGTTGCTTAGATTTGTAATTCTTCCAGTCAGTCATGTTTGTAGTCCTGGCTTCCGGGCAGGTCTGTTGGCAAACAGGGGAGGGTAGATACAGATCACTCTCCAGCAGATACTGAGCTGCGTTATCACAGGCCCAGGAATCAAACCCAAGTCTCCTCCTTGATGTTACAGATATGTCACACAATGTATTCAGGGAGTCTGAATTAAAGTACAGGTTATTTGCTCCTCATTACGCCAGCACCTCAGAAGAGTTCAGAAATAGAAATGTACAGGAGACCACGTCACTCTCTGCAGAAAGCAGAAGTGTGGATGTACCTTTAAGGGATAATGGGATGAATGCATGAGGAAGGCCATTACCGCCGTGCTGCTCCGACTTAGACCCAGGGTAGAGAAAACCAGAACTGCTCCAAGAGCCATCTGAGCATCTAACCAAAGAAAAGTGCATTACAAATTAGTGTCTTGAAAAATCAAAGCCAGAGAACTCTCCCCACTCCTCTTAGTTTTTAAATGAATTTCTAATGCTGGTGAAAGGTGCCAGATAAATAGTCCCAGAGACACAAGCCCGCTTAAACCACTGAATAGGTACAGCTGGGCAGTGTCAGGACACGTTTCTCTACACCGCCCCAGAGGGGTCTGTCCTGGATGGATTGGGTTAAGAAGTTAGCTTTTGGACCTAAGTTAGCCTAAGTGTAGAGGAGTATGGAAAACTGAAGTTGCTAGTGTGAGAAATTAGAGTGTTATGGGAAAGTAAGAGTTAGCAAGGATCTGATTCAGGGTCATGTTACTGTTATGTTTTGATTATAACTAGTTTCAGCAAAGTTTTTAATGAGTGTTTTTGAGAAATGTGAATGTTTTATTAAAATGCTATCAATACTGACAGTGTAGGAAGGACATTGGTGCAGATGTTAATTTAAATAATATGTAAAATAAAGAGCCAATAAGGATCCCACAGCTGAATAGGGGCCAGATCCCACTCTAGGGAGCACAGATGTGTGTGACTTGGGGGGAGCTCAGAGGAGGAAGTTAAGAAGAAATTTGGGGAGTACAGGAGTGTCTCCTCACTGATCACACGGGAGGGTTTGCCCAGAACAGATTTGCTGAGTCGGCGTCTGTGCTCCCAGGCACCCAGCCCGTGGCTCAGGTTTTAAGAGGGAAATGTGTAACTGACCTCCCAGAAGGGAGCAGTCAGACAACTGACCTTTTGGGAACAGAGAGAGGCGTGACAGAGGGTATCCCAATACAGGTCCCACTTTTTCAAAATGCTGTTCCTAATGTACTTGTGAAAACTAACTCTCTTTAAGACAGGATAAGAATCCTACTAACGATTTGGGTGTCAGTGAAAATGCTAATGACCCACCTGAGAAAGGGGAGGAGGAAGCAATCTCCCGGGCAGGTGAAATCCACCCAGAAACTAAGCAAAAGCTGCTGAGAGAAGAGGGTGGGGAAAGTTCCAATATTTGGAGTGAAAATTACAAAGAAGCCCTAGAAGGGAGGGTGGATTTTTTGCATGGGCACAGCCTTGGAGATGGAATGCAGCTCCACAGGGGGCCGACCAGTTAACAGCAGTAATAGCTGGCACAGCAGAAAAAGCATAACAAACCTAGACTGCTTGTGTGGAAGGGGAAACTGAGGCACACTGTCTCATGGCATTGGTGGCCTTCCTGAAGACCTTACAGACAGCCTCTGTCTCATGGCTGCTGTGGTCCTACAGAGACATGTGACCAAGTCACCTAGTACTGGACTCCATGATAATACAAGTGTTTTTCCATTGAGGGAGTGTGGGAATCAAACTGGGAGACAAAGGGTTCCCGCCAGGGGTGAAAGTAAAGCGGTACGGGCCGGTACGGCGTACCGTTAAAAAGTGGCCGTCGGTACCAGCCCCTATCACCTTACTTTAAAACACTGCCATGGGAGCACGCGGAGCTGGTTGCCGTACCACTAAGTTTTCAATTTTACTTTCACCCCTGGTTCCCGCCATATGTAAAACCTATTCAAGGTAGGGGAATGACATCATCATGGTTCCTTCATCACTGACTCCCTGCCCAAGAAAGAAGACTGCTGAAAACACCTGAGAAACAAAAGACTGAACTTGGGGGAAGGGCTGAGCCCAGGTTAGAGGGTTTACTAGCCTGTGAAAGGAATATCTGGAGTTTTAAGCTGCTAGCAAGTGCAGCTTGCCTTCAAGAATCTCTGCAATCTGCCTAAAACAACATTCAGAGTGAGAATTTTCTACTTATAACCAATTCATTAAGCTTAGACTGTGTTTTTTGTTTTATTTGCTAGGTAATCTGCTTTGATCTATTTGCTATCACTTAAAATCTATCTTTTGTAGTTAATAAATTTGTTTTTATTTTGTCTAAAACCGGTGTGTGGAAATCATAACTTGGGGCAGAAAGCGGTGTATATGCCTCTCCACTTTGAGGGAGGGCGCGAATTTCATGAGCTTACGCTATACCGTTCTCTGTGCAGCGCAAGATGGTATAATTTGGGGTTTACCCTCTAAAGGGGGGTGCGTGCCTTAGGAACTGGGAGGTGCCTTAGCTTTGCCTTCCCATGCAGGGGCTGGTTAAAGAACCTGTGTGTGTAGTGCTGAGTGTGTCCTTACCTATGTGTATGCTGGTGACTTAGCAAGCTTGGAGAGCTTAGCAACTTGTCACAGCATTACAGGGTGAAAAGGGAGTCCAGGCTGGTGGATCAGGCGGGCTCAGTGGTACCCCAGTTCCAGGCGGCATCCCGAGAGGGGGGAACCCATCACACCAGTAAATGGACTGAACAGCTCCAGTTGGGACCATGCTTCTAGGTGTTAAAAGACTACGAACCTCCACACTCAAAAGAACAGTGTGCACACTTGATAGTTATAGATCAGAATCCACTCACCTATGAAGTGACAAATGGTGGGAAAAAAGGAAAAAAGATCTGCATCGGGAGAATCTGCCACAGAAACATGAAGAAGTGTTTTGCTTTCATCTGTGAAACTGGAAAGGGAGCACACAGGAGAGATGTTAAACAGGCCAATAAAGTAGTTCTGCCAAATTCTACTTGCCTGGGGCAAATCAGCCATATTTTATTTGACGTTACATGAGTAATAACTTTTCATTGTCATCATCATAGTAAGGAACGGTGAGTAAGACACTGAGGCTGCATTAGGTGCATAACCAATAGTTCCATTATCAGTCAGCCAACCTAAACTGTGTTAGTATTTATGTATTAACATGACCCTATAGTATGTTCTACCTGGGAGCTTGATGAAGGCAGATAGCTGAAAGCAAGTGTTCTTTCATGTCATACATGTTTTGGGAGTTTCCTAAATATATAATTAATGTACACAGACGCTGCTTCATATGGTTTCTTATTAAAGTGTCATACACCTTACAACGTATCTCATCTCACTGAGAAACGGCTGCAAAACAACGAAGAGGAATTTTTAAGCTATGCAGATGCATTTCATGTAATGAACAGTGACTTAGAGCTGAGAGGAAGCCCAGTTCTCTGAGATTTTTGAGGGTTCTCTTTGGAGCCAGATACACAAGAAATGCTTGGTTATTGGTAAAACTGGCTGCAAAAATGTAGCCAGGCAGAAAGCTATATTTGTCCTCACTCGTCACATCCTTGCAAAATGTCTCTGGGTTTTTGGCTGTATCGAGCTGTAGTTCTAATATAGCTCGCCCACTGACTTGAGTGGCTAGTCAAATAGCTTCAGTCAGTGACAAATACAGAAAAAGGAGTAAGAGAAATCACACAAAAGGTAAATGAATTGCATTTGAAAGCATGTTGGTTTGTACATTTTCCTCTTAAATGTAGCATTAGGTTCATTGTGAAGGTTGGTGTTGAACTCTTAGGCCCAGATTCTTACAGGTATTTAGATGCCTAATTTCCATTGATTTCAATGGGAGGTAAGCACCTCGGTACCTCTGAGGATCTGGGTCCCAGTGATAACGATCCCATTCTTGCTCTACATAGTCTCACTTCTTCTGAGTTACGGTAGGCTGAGGCAGTAACGAGTCATTGCTTTGCAACCTCTAAAGTAGAGAAGTCAGAAGAACAAGCTTTAAATAGCTTTAAGTTTATCCCATACTTCTAATCACCATCCTACTCTGACTGAATGAGTATCTCACAAGGTTCCTGGAAGGTCCACAAACATGCAGCTTCTGCTACTGGGCTCCCGTGCTGTACTGCATAACTTGGCAGCTTTTCACACACACAACCATCGATGCAAATCCAACTAGACCATTTGACTTACAGTGTTGCAATCTCCTCTGAGATGTTGACTTGTGCTTTGATTTTCAGATCCTTCTGAATCTGTTGGTCACAGGCCTGCCTGCAATCTCCCATATATAACTGAGCAGGCAATATCTCTACAGGGTATGGCTGAAAAGCATCCAGTTCCTGCACAAGAGAAACAAAAGGATTAATACAGTTGAAAGAACTATCTATTTGCCTTCATATATCTATTTCTATATCTATTTGCCTTCATCTTAGCTTGGAAAGTTCTTAAACCTGAATCCTGAGAAGAAATGAACCAATGCTCAGTCAATGTCCTACACCTACATTCAAACAGAAATGGGGTACATTCATTTAATCGGACAGATATTCTGAAGAACAGAAGTTATAACTAGACTCAGTCAATGAAATGAACATGGTCACTGCCAATGTGGCCCTGCTGGAATAAAAAAAAAGAATAAGAGATAGACTATGTCCTTTGTAATGCAGGGAAGGACACTAGTACCTCAGATTAATTAGAGTTTGCTAATTACTTGGTCCAAGGCCAAATGAAACCACTTCTCAACCCGGACTGGCAGGTGTAGTGTGACTGCATAACACAACTCCAACTCATCGCTCCTACCAGAGCAGGAAAAATTCTGAGCATAGCTTAGCACAGCCTACTCTTTGGGCAGCATGAAGGCTAAGGACAAAATTCTGTAGCCGTGCCAAGAGTGGAAGGGAAGATAGTTGAGTAATGACTATGCACCAGTGTTCACCACTGAAATGCAGCCCTCACTAGGGTGAAACACAATAGCTGTTTGACAGCACAAAGCAGCACTGAACAATAGTTTAGAGAAGGAAGTATAGGAGAATGCTGTATCCAACTGTAACTGCAGGGAGAATTGAGGTAGATGGCGTGTCAGACATCATAAAGAAGCAAAAAAGGTCACCAAACAATTTATTTTCTCCTTTGCAGATCACTCGTAAGCCACCTTATTAAGCCAGCATAACTGGAGCACTACACAGGCCAGCAACTTATTACACAGCTATGTGAAACAGAAGGAGTAACAGAAAGCAAAGACATGTTGCAGAGACACGTCACTACCTTTTTTTTTTAAGCCTTGTCCTAGATGTTAAAGTGGGATGCTTATCTCTCACAGTCTAAGCAGGCTCCAGTCAGGTTAATGTTTGGGTAAGAGAACAGAACAGGATGCTGTTGGAAATAATGTAAGTGACTCAATAGGTGGCACTTTTCTCCCTGAGTCAATACTTGAAAAAATGTATCAGTTTGCTTTGTGATCCTTTGGGATGAAAGCCATTGCATGTAAGAAGTTATTAAAGACATATCTTAAAAAAACAGTCACAATTTCTGCCCAAACATGTTTACCTGCTATTGTTATAACACCTCAGATTACTATAACTGAAAGATTTGTTTAATCTAACAGCACTTTACGGTTAGTCAGTTTCCCATGTTGTTTTTGTGAGTTTTTCCACACAACATCAGGAAGAGAAAAATAGATACTTGTGCTTGTAAAAGAACAAAAATTAGCAGAGGGACTCCAGGGCAAGGGTATTACTTGAAATGACTTTTGACTCCTTTTTTAAAATTGACTGGACATCAGATTGACAGTGTCCCTTTAATTATTACTAGGGAATTCACTGGAATCAGGGCCGGCTCCAGGCACCAGCCCACCAAGCTTGTGCTTGGGGCGGCACCTGGAGGGGGGCGGCGCAGCGCGGCGCTCCGGCCGCCGGGGAGAGCGGGGCCATGGCCGGGCTCGCCGCCCTCCCCCCTGGCGCCCTCCCCCCGGCCGCCGGGGGGAGAGCGGAGCCCCCGCCGCAGTGGGGGGGGGGCGGCCGGAGGCTTTTTTGCCTGGGGCGGCAAAAAAGCCAGAGCCGGCCCTGACTGGAATTAGTTGAATGGACATAGAAAAATTCTATTTATAGCTGAAGACCTGGCCCCTCTCTCCAATAATCTCACCTGAGGCATCCAGAATATCTTCTGAGTCCTCAAGAAATGGTAGCACGCAGTGAAGCTCTCATACCCTCCTTTCAGGATGCGGACTGGGTGGCGGGTGAACTGCTCTAAGACTCTGGCACACTGGATGGCAGCCCCTACCTCAGCATCTAAAGACATGGAAAAGCTATTACACATGGTTACTGCAGGGAATCGGATGGGGAGAGGGTTATTTCCAACAGGCCCTGAGTACTTGGGGTGAAATCGTGACCCTAGACATCAGTAACTAAACTCCCTTTGGCTTCAATGGCGCCAGGATTTCACCCCGATGTCTGAAGGACCTTGAGAGTGCAGGATTAAAAGCTACAATCACTCTCCAGCCACTGCTGCTGCAAGGAAGCCACTGGGGATGTTTCTGACATTCCCTACGAACCTCTTGTCTGGAGAGCTCCTTTTTTTCTATTGTCATATTTTTTTTTTCTTCCTCTTGTTCCTGTCATATCAAAGACAAGGTATGTGTTTGTTCACTTCTTAGGCCTGGTCTACACTAGGAAATTAGGTCGGGATAACGACATCGCTCAGGGGTGTGAAAAATCACACTGTGCTGCTGTATGCGTAGACAAGCCTTTAGTTAGGTCTTATGGACAATTTTATCAAATCTGCAAATAGCTGGATTTTAAGAATTCACAAAGCTATTTTTAACAAACTAGCAGTTAAAATTTCAACTTTCCTGGCTTTGTCAGTTTCACACTAACGCCGGAAACAAGGTGAAATGTGCTGAAAGTGGATCATGTCCTCTTAAAAACATCTGTGTTTGCAAAATACTTCTATGCTAACTAGAACTGTTATAGTCACTTTGCGACACCAGATAATGGGGGGCAGGGGAGATCTAGAAGCCAGGACTGTGATTCTGCAATGAGCTGCAAGGTCACTACAAGTTCAGGGTCTAAAAGGTAATCTGCCGTTTGGGAAAAATAATTTCAATGTTTCCTGGTATCTTTAAATTAACTCAACAGATGCACGAAGCTATCAGTGCCATGATCTGCGTTTTATTCTCTGGGTTTCCAGACCTAAGCATTTGCCACAGAACTTCATCTAATTACTACTCTCATTAAAGATAAATCCTATTTTTGTTACTATGATAATGCAAATTCTTCTTTTTTTTAATCCTGAGCTTACTAATAAAAAGAAAGAACTCACTTTGTGAACACGAAGAACTGGATTCATCTCCTGAGATCTCTGAGGCAGCTTTAGTCCCTAAAAAGCAATAAAGAAACACACTAAACCCCAGTTGAACTGGGGAAAATAGCCTCTTTTCCACTTAAATGGTTTTGAAAGCGAAGGGTTCACATATTGAAAGATGAGCCAGCCTAGACCCAGGGACCTTGAAAGAAAATCTGGATTTATAAAGCCTAGAATAGAACATGTGAAATATTATGACAAACAGAGGCTTATTGATGGTGTAATGTTACCAAAATAAAGGTGGTGCACTTAAGTATTCTTGTCAAGTTATTTAAAAGAGAAATAAACATACCTTTTTCACCCTCCTCCTTCTCTTCGTAATCATCATAATCGGTATCGTCCAAAGAGCTGGTTTTGCCATCATACACGACACAATATTTGACACACTCCAGCTCAACTGATTCAGGTATCAGATAGTCCCCCATAGGATTCTAGCAAAACCACAAAAGAATCTTATTAAGAGGGGGACTGCATTTTTCCTCATGGAACTATCCCTAGCAATTTCTTCCAAATTACCATTATACCTTATTTTGAAGAAAGTGGGCGGAATTCAGAAGTGATGTAAGTTACATGTCAGCAAGTGGGTCTGGGTCTAAGTCTATGGGAGAGCTAGGGTGGTGTGTAACTTATATGCTGAGGAACTGCAAGAAGATGCAACTCATTCCTGATTCACTGTTGCCTCTCACCCTGAGCAATCATTTACCCCAGTGTAAAGTTGGTATAACTAATTCAGAATGGTAGTGATTTACCTTTACATTGCACGGGTGTAAATGCAAAGCAGTGGACAGTGTGGCCTCCTCCGAGTCACCCCTTTGTTTCATCCTGTCTTTTGAGCATCAGCTTTTTTCCCCAGATCTCTGAATGTGTTTTTCCCTAAGTTGGCAGCCTCCAGCCCTGCAGTATTTATTTATCATTGCAATGGTCACCATGGAACTATTTTAAACCAGCTCAAATGTTCCTATTTTCTTGAAATCGTCACTTGTACTTTCTAGCGAATGCAGTGATGTTTACCAGTGAAGGCACTTAAGGCTGAGATTTGCAAAGCCACCTAAGGGAGTTAGAAGCACAGTTCCTATTAATGGGACTTGTGTATCTAACTCCTTTAGGTGAATCCCAGAAGTTAGAGATGGAAAAGACCTAGGAGGTCATTTTGTTGGCCTACCTGCCAATACAGTAGATTTTTGAATGCTTTGTCCTCTCTAATGTTAGACATCTCAAGCGATGAGGGTTTCACTTCAGCCCTTTGTGAGACAACTCTGCAATAGCTCTTATTGCTGGAATATTCTTCCTGATATTCAACTTCAATGTCTCCCTTCTTTAGGCTACTGTAATCTCACTTCCCCTCTTTTCTACCCCAATCTGCATCACCTCTTGTGGGATAAATCAAATATTCAAGAATCAGGCAGGAGAGAGACTGGAGCAGTTCCTCATCCTTTTTGGCTAATTCTATCTCACTGCTAAATGCTGACTCCTAGGGTATGTCTACACTACGGGATTAATCCGAATTTAGATAATTCGAATTTGGGAAACAGGTTGTATAAATTCGATTGTGCGCGGCCACACTAAGCACCTTAATTCGGTTTTTAACCACATTAATTCGGTGGTGTGCGGCCACACTACCCCATTAATTTAAACACAGTAATTCGGTGGTGTGCGGCCACACTAACCCTAATTCGAATTAACAAAATCGATTTAGGCGCTACTCCGCTCGTCGAGGTGGAGTACAGAAATCGATTTTAAGTGCCCTTTAATTCGAATTAACTGGCTCTGTAGTGTGGACGGGTGAAGGGTTAATTCGGATTAACGCAGCTAAATCCGAATTAAAGTCGTAGTGTAGACCAGGCCCTAGAATCATCAGTGTGTGTGACTCATTAATGATCCAGAGCATTCACCCCTGCTGGAACACAGGGATACAAAGTGTTCTCTTCCCATGAAAGTAGGGGCTGCTGTGCCTGAGAAGATACCTCCCTGAGAAGCCTAAGTGGTGTTTGCATTGCGACTTTCTGTAGGAGGGGCAGCTTTAGCTTGCGGTCAGCTCCCTGGAGCCCTTTTGGTGACACTGACCAGGTGATATGCTCATTAGTGCAGAACAGAAGGTCATGGACAGCACACATGAATGATAAACCCGCTTGAAACCACAACTTACCTGTTTAACCCTTCTTGCTGTAATCACATGGCTTTCATTGTACTCACGCTTTGTACGGGCATCTGAAAATAACAATGAAGATTGTGTGAATGGTTTACATAGTGCCTTCAAGGCAGAATCCAGCTCCTTATGAAGCCAATGGGAGTTTAGACTGCAAAGAGCTCTACAAACCTTACAACTAGATACCCACCGCCGAAATACAGATTGTATAAATTTCTTCATGGGATTCCATGTTTATTGTGCCTATTGACTTTCAGGTTAAATGTCTCAGTTTGCAAGCAAAACAATGTTTTTTCAAGATGTCCGCCTTATGAATTTAACCTGGGATCTGAAAATCAAGCTGCATTATTTCCGTCTCACTACCACTAATCAAGATTCCGCAGGACCAAAGTCTGCAGTCATTGCACAGAGATTGCATAAATGTAATACAGGGCAGAATTTGATGCTGCAACTGGAATTTGGCAAACAATTCTATTGATGATGCAAAAGTCAGACTAGAATCCAGCTATTTCTCCCATAACTCTATTCTTCTGCTGTGCTAACCCAAATAATAGTTACAATTTATTTTGTCGTTACATTAAATAGATATGATGGAATGCACCCAGAGAGCAAGTGTGTGGAGTACGTAGGTGCCATTTTTACATGACCACTTTTATAATATGGCAACATTAAAACAATGTCTATGAAAAATTCCTAAATGCATTAGGAGTTCCTATTATAAAATAATATAATAGCTCTCATTAACATTTATATAGCACTTCATATGTTCAAAGCACTGAACAAACATTAACTAATTCCTCCCAACAACTCCGTGAGGAAGGCACTATTAGCTAGTGAAATCCATCACAGGTGTAATTGAATGGATTTACGTCAGGGATGAATCTGGCCCATTATCTCCATTTGACTGAGGGGAAACTGAGACACTGATGTCCAATTCAGAGGTGATATAAATGGTGTTGTAAGTTGTAGTGGTAATGAAAATGGCCCATTTCCAGCAATTGACAAGAAGATGTGAGGAACTGTGGGGGGGAAATTTCCCCATGCTTATTTTTTCCCCCCTACAGTTCCTCACATCTTCTTGTCAATTGCTGGAAATGGGCCATTTTCATTATCACTACAAACAGTTCTTTTTCTCTCCTGCTGATAATAGCTCACCTTAACTGATCACTCTCCTTATAGTGTGTATGGTAGCACTCATTGTTTCATGTTCTCTGTGTATATATATATATATATCTTCCTACTGTATTTTCCACTGCATGCATCCGATGAAGTGGGCTGTAGCCCACGGAAGCTTATACTCAAATAAATTCGTTAGTCTCTAAGGTGCCACAAGTACTCCTGTTCTTTTTACAAAGATCTTTGGGCACCATACAATCACATGCATGCTAATGGTTCAAGCAGGACTAAAGGACCTATCCCTGTTGCCCTGAACCTTGTACAGACATGTACACAAGTGCAAAGGGCCTGATTCAACTCCCATTACTGTTAATAGGCATCTTTTCACTGACTTTTATGGCAGTTGGGTCACTCCCAAAGCACATACAAAGTTTTCCAACAATCTAGCCCCAATAATTAAACAAAAGAATGACCTATATGACAAATCGCACAATAAAAATACATATCAACACTCTCATTAGCTTACCCAGTAAACAGAGATAGTTAGGCTCAGTTAACCTGGAGAGCTTCGTGGACTGGTTCAAGATGTTGTAAAGCTCTGTGGGCTCACAGAGAACCAACCCTGCCATTTTACTGAATGGAAATAATAATTAAAGTAAATACATTCTTAAAAGGTGAGTTCTTGCAAAGTAACCAAGCTAACGTGAAGAATTTACTTTTTATCCGTTCCAGCTCATCTGTGAATGAAAACAATCACTTTGAGCCCAAGCTTGAGTCCTTAAATCCTTGCCTTCATAAGGGATATTTGCTCCATGAGAACTGCAAGATCAGGCTTTTTAAAATATAGAGGTCAGAATTCCATCTACAAAAATCTAATTTAAATAGTGAAATATAAAAATGGAATATGATGTACAGAGCATCCACACCTGTGCACATCACTCAGATATGAAATGAACACGGAGAGATCCTATTGCCTAAAATCAGGACTTACATTTCTTAAAATTGTTTTCTTGGAGAAAAAATCCATGTTCAGTATTTCTGTATTTAGGGACTGATTTTGAGTGGTGCTGAGGCTGACTCCACTGGCAGAGGTAGGAGCTCAGCATTTCACAGGATTGGGGCCATGGCCATTAACAATTTATTTCTCCGTAACTTAGAAACGTGTTCCCCAAGTATCAGTGTTGTTAGGAAACAGAATAGATAGACACCACTCCTGCAGGCAATGGAAGACTGAAAAGCCTGAGATCTTCCTCTGACCAGATCAAATCTTCCCCGCCCTCCATCCCCTTGGAGTTTCTCTCTATATTTTGTAAAAATAAAAAAAAATTACATCAAATTTCAATAAATACAAAATAAAACAATATGCCCCCAGCGGTAAGTGATCCAGACAAAGGCTGGGGCTCCAGAACTCCACATTAAACGTCACCTTTGCAGCTTGCACAGGTTCTCCCACTCTGTTCAATGCCACTTCCGTGGAGTTTGTAGCCGTAGTACCCAGGGTGTCTGTTGCTATGGCATCAGTTGCCATGGCACCTATCACACCTGTGGCATCTGTTGCCATGGCACCCATGGAGATTTATTACCATGACACCTGTGACATCTGTTGCCATGTCACCTATGACCTTTGTTGCCATGGCACCCATGGAGGTCTGTTGCCATGACACCCGTGGCACCTGCAGCTGTGCCCCCTGTGGTACCCATTATGACTGTCAAGATCGCGCTAGCTCAGGGAGGGGCTTTCAAAGCCCTGGGCCCGGTCCCATTCCCATCTCACCTCCTGGTTGCTACGCAGCGACGCTCGGCCGTAACCAAGGCTGACGTCACTTGGGACCACCCCTTGCCCAGCTCTCGCGATCCTTTGGTGGGCGCAGTCTCGGCCCGGGCGCGCCTTGAGCGCGAAATCTCGCGGGGCTTCGGGGCTGTCTCGCGTTGCCTGCAGGCCGGAGGCGCGGTGGCGATCTCGCGGTGCTGGCTGCGCGCTGCCTGTGGTGGAGGTCGTTGGAGTCACCGTCCCGGGCCCGTCATGCTGCTCGCCCGCCTCAGCGGCCCCGCCGCCGCGCTCCGCAGGGGGATCGCCACCTCGGCGCAGGTACCGGCCGGGCGGGGGCCCGAGGCCTGCCCTGCCCCACACACCCCCCGGCTCTGCCTGCGGCCTCGGACCCTTCCCCCTCCCCCGCGTGCAGCCGGGGGGCGCGGGCCTGGCCCTGCCGCGCCGCCCCCCGCCCCGGGCGGGCTGCGCTTTGCTGTGCGCAAGGGGGGTCCCTGTCCCCCCTGGACCCGACTGCTTGGGGCGAAGGGGGGTCCCCGCGCGGCGCCTTTCACCCGAGGGGCGCAGCTTTGGCCACGAGCCCCCCTCTTCCAGGCAGCCCCGCCTGGGCACCCGGGAGCGCTGGCTGCAGGCAGGCAGCCCCCTCCCCCTTCCCCTCTCCAGATGGGGGAATCGAGGCGCAGGCCGGGGTGTGACTTCCCCCAAGGTCACCCCGCCCATCCGAGCCCTGGCTGCGAGGCCGCGCTCCCTCCAGATACATCGCTCGCTTCTCCACCCGTCTTCTCCTTGATGCGGGGTCGCAGGTGCCAGCGAGTCTTCCCCTTGCCGTGCGGCCCCGTGGCGGGAGTCTGTAGGTTTTAGATCTCAGGCTTTTTCTCTTCAAATGTCTCTTGACACCGTCTTTCCATCATCTCTCTGCTCCTGCTCCTCCTTTTCTGCTGTCCTTCTTCCCTTACTTGTTGCTTTTCTCCCATTCTTATCCTATGTCGAGCCTGCCTCGAGTGTGTACTCTCCCGCCTGTCTCCCGGGAGATCAATCAGATGTGTTAATGGAGTCTTTTCAATATAACTCTACTATGCTAATGGCATGTGTAGACCGTTATGGTGTTACTCTGCTTGTTAAATTGAATACTTACGTTTAAACGACAAGTATTAACTTGAGAGAGAAGGTGGATGAGTTAATACCTTTTATTGGACCAGCTGTGGTCCAATAAAGCTCTGGGTGGCTTGAAAACTTCTCTTTCACCAACAGAAGTTGCTCCAATAAAAGATATTACCTCACTCACCTTGTCTTTCTAATATTCTGGGACCAGCATGGCTTCAAGCACACTGCAACCAAGTATTAACTTATTTAAGTTGGATCTCATGTTAAATAGTTACTACAGACAACAAAGCAGATTAGAAGTGGGTCAGAAACCCTGAAATCCTGGAGTGAAAGATGGGGCATATTGGGCATCTTTAGGTGTCCAGCAACATAAATAGTTGACACTGGGCCACAAAATAAACGTGCCATTCTGCTTCTCTATCCCTTTGGCGATTCACTTCTGATCAGGACAGAAGTGGACTCTCATTGGTCAGATGTAGCTAGTACAGGTCTGTCTCATCTTACGCGGGGGTTCCGTTCCGCGGTTAGCGCGTAAAGCGAAAACCGCATATAGCCAAAACCCCATTGAGTTCAATGGCAGGCGAAATTGGCCGCACTACAGGTATAGTATTAAAACTGTTGTTTTTCTCTTTTTGGTTTTTGCCGACCACGTAAAGTTGAAATCGCGCATGTTAAATGCGCGTAAGATGCGACAGACCTGTAATCAGCAAGTGTGTGGCAACTGAGTATTGGCGACATTTAATGGAGTTGAGAGATAGATTGGTATTGATTACTTCAATCCTTTCCTGAACATAAGCATCTAATTGTTTCAAAATAGTGATGGGAATTAAGGGTGGAGGCTGCAGATTAAATCTGTTTATATCAATTTATGCATGTAAATAGAACTCTAGCCTTCCCCTACCAGAGTCCAATTGCCTTCTATCTTAAGTAAATAATTTCTCAATGGTAAAGTGCTCATTTAAGAGGACTGTGTCATAATTGCAAGAGAATATAAAGGTGATTGTGTAAAGGGGGGCTAATAACAGAAACATTCAAATATCATACTTAGAAATCAACTCACTGCCTATCAATTTTCTCATGACTTCAAGTAATTTAAGAGATTTATAAGACTTCTTCCCCTAAGTGTGATTTCAAATAATACAGACTTGAGGTTCATTGGTCACTTCATAGCAATACACTGCCTATGACCATTGCTAGATTTTGATCTTTGTGGAAGAGAGCATTTATGCAGAATTTTACTTCAGTAACAAGCAGGTTGGATTACTGCCAAAGTGAATCCACTTTTTGAAAAATAGTCTAATTACTGTTTTGTCACAGTGATATAGTCTTCTCCCTTTAAAGATAGAGTCACTTAAACAGATTTTTCAAAGGGACTGAAGAGTTTAGGTGCCCAATTCCCATTGATTCTTAATGGGATTTGGGATCCCAACTCCTTTAGGCCCATTTGAAAATCCCAGCTTTAAACATTAGTCATTAAAGCTATGTGATTTATGTACTGAGTCAGTACATTCATTTTAAAGGGGCACTGATTCCAATGTACCTTAGCAATATAACTCTATCAGTAAGTAAACTTTCTTCTATTAAACGTCAACTACATTTAATCTTCCTTCTAAAAATATGCACGTGAGGCAGTGCAGAGGTGAGAATGCAAAACTTCATTTTCGGCATCCCTTATATGAGTTAGAAACTACCTCTGAGAAATGCAGCAGGTAACCTAGTCTAAACAATAAGTATTAATGAATATTCAATCTCTGCAATCTAAGTGGATAGACTTCTTAATCAGGAACCAAGAGCAGAGTTCTGCATGGCAAAAGCTAACTGCTAAAATTAGTAGCTTCTGTATAATTCAGATTTCTGTTTTCAAGCAGTAGCGCTAAGCACGCTCATTCGAGAAATCTATCCAAAGACTTGCACTCAGCTTTTATGCTAATCCATGCAACCTGATTTCTGGGTAGGAGCAGACCTTTGTGTGTTCATGTACTGCTTGTTAAAGGCTCAGAATTGTCAATCAGGCATAGTAAAGGCCCTCTAGTCACAGAAGATGGTACAGCAAGGCAATACGGGTGTTCTCTCTCACTGCTCTCCCAGCGTGTCTTCATCCTGATCTAGTGCTGTCAGATGGCAGTTTAGTTACGTGAGTTGGGTTTCATCAACTAGCAATCTATTTTAGAAGATAGAGGCTTCATGATTCACCGGACTATACCATTTTAACACTGCAGTTAAGTGGTTCCTGCCACTCCAGTAGTAAAAGTGATGCAAAGCTTGTTTGAGAACACAGGAATTTAGCTGCCACATCTCAGGATTTTTCTACACTGCATTGTTAGTTTGAACTGTAACTCAAGATTTGCCCCTAACGCAACTCCCGTCCACAAACCCATCTAGCTCGATCGTGGTGCTTTAAGCTAGAGCTAGCTGGCCTGTTATGGAGGGGGGGTTGAAGCCCAAGTGCTGGTACTGCAATGGAGATGCAGCAGCTCAAGATACAACTCATCAGCTGCTAATCCAATAAGGAGCTGGAACAGCCTGCAGCATGGTCGGTCACTCACTCAGCTAGCTTAGGAGGAAAGCAGATTCTTTCTTCTAATATTGGCAACTAAAACTGGAATAGCCACAGAATTGTGTATCCCTAATAAACCAGAAGGTAGACCCATAGCTATGGCCCTACCAAATTCACAGTCCATTTTGGTCAATTTCATGGCCATAAGATTTTAAAAATCATAAATGTCATGATTTCAGGTATTTAAATGTGAAATTTCGCAGTGTTGTAATTGTAGGGGTCTGGACCCAAAAAGGAGTTGTGTGTGTGAGTCACAAGGTTATTGTGGGGGGGGTTGCAGTACTGCTACCCTTAATTCTGCTCTGCTGTTGGCAGCAGCACTGCCTTCAGAGCTGGGTAGCTGGAGAGTGGCGGCTGCTGGCTGGGAGCCCAGCTCTGAAGTCGGAGCCACTGGCAGCAGCAGCGCAGAAGTAAGATTGGCTTGGTGCGGTATTGCCACCCTTTTGCTCTGCTTCTGGTGGGGCGCTGCCTTCAGAGCTGGGTGCCTGGCCAACAGCTGCCGCTTTCCAGCCGCCTAGCTCTGAAGGCAGCGCAGAAGTAAGGGTGGCAATACTGTGACCCTCCTAAAATAACCTTGCAACCTCCCTGCAACTTCCTTTTGGATCAGGGCCCCCAATTTGAGAAACGTTGGTCTTCTCCCATCAAATTTGTATAGTATAGGGTAAAAGCACACACAAGACCAGATTTCACGGTCCATGATGTGTTTTTCATGGCCATGAATTTGGTAGGGCCCTTCTCCTAGCAGAGTTCTGGACGGCATTTGCCATGGCAGAAAAATTTCTAAATTGAGAGACAATTGTTTGAGTACCTTTCCTTACTGAAAAGAATCCAGCTTTGAAGAAGCATGCATCTCTTAAATGTTTGTCTTATCGCTCCAAAGACTTGCTACTGATACTTCCTTTAAGAAATTATGTCTTCCATAAGAGTTTAGTTTTGAATCCAGTTTGCCACTGTCTCGTTTAAAAACAAAACTCAACTGAGACAAATAGAGCTCTTCAAAAATCAGAAGCAAACTTAAGTGTGATGAAGGCTCCAAAGCCATTATTGAGTAACTGCTAAAAAACATCTGTGTCCTTCTTTCCTTTCTCCTCAGAGCAATGCTAAAGTGGCAGTGCTTGGTGCCTCTGGAGGGATTGGCCAACCTCTTTCCCTTCTACTGAAGAATAGCCCCTTAGTGAGCCGCCTCAACCTGTATGATATTGCTCACACCCCTGGCGTTGCAGCTGACCTCAGCCACATTGAGACAAGAGCCAATGTCAAAGGTATCGTAAATCATTATTAATTATCTGAGGCATATTACTGTGCACACAGAGGTCCTAGATTGAAGTGATTCTTACTATGTGTTATGTGTAGGATACACAACAATATTACTATATATATGACGTGGGGCACTACTTGTCTTTTATAAATAATTACATTCCTGTTAAC